CCAAAATAAAGTGTGGGGTGTCGTTGTACAGTCAAATACACAAAAACAGTAACACAACTAATAATCTCATTTGAACAATGTCTGTATTTCTCACACAAGTATAACAAAAAATAAAAATAAATCCAATCCGATTTGTGCAGTTCCTGTTATAGAACATGCTGCTCTGTTAGCAAGCTTGTATTGTGTTTCAGCTCCAAAATAAATAATTTAGCCTCCATCATTTAAATAGCAGTCGTCACCTGAGATGATGTTAAGAAATCACTAAGAAGCACTGAGAATCTTTGCAGAAAGAGTTTAAAACCTCCCCACAGTAATGTTTTTTTAATTAAAAATATGCCCTGTAAACCGGTAATGCAAAAAATCTAAAATGTCTCATGACAAGATTAGTTTTACTTGACAGCATAGATTTGTGTGACGTGAGACTTTTTTTGTCGTTTGCTTTGAATCGATGCTGAAAGCTGTAAGACACTTTTGAGGTATATCTTTGGGTAGCTGTGTAAACCCAGTCTTCTGCTCTTCCGTAGTTATGCTACAGCCTTTTGACTACGACCCTAACGAGAAGAGCAAGCATAAATTCATGGTTCAGTCCATGCTGGCTCCCAGAGACATGACTGATATGGAGGGAGTTGTGAGTATTGGAGCACAAGAATGGATTTGGGTGTTTCAGGCGTTGCCTAAATATAACCAAATCCTCTTCTTTCTGTTTTCTGGTTCTCGTCTGCAGTGGAAGGAGGCAAAGCCTGAAGAATTGATGGATTCGAAGCTGAGATGTGCTTTTGAAATGCCTCTAGAAAATGACAAAACTGTAGGTTTCAAATTAAATTTATAGGCACTGTAAACATCCTTAGCATTAAAGTCACATGTTGTCACAACCCCAGATTTACTGCATTTTATATTTCAGTCATTAGAGCTTATCTTTTGTCAGTGAAGTTAGTGTGAAAGGTTTTAAAATCCTGTGTTTTGGTCAAATTTTATTCTCCACGTGTTCAGTTTTATTTCAGCATTACTGGACTGCGTCACCCATTACATGATATATGATTTGTTCGTACATTTATCTCACTCTCTGTCGCATGTCTTCACGTTTTCCTTTATTCACCGTTTTTTTTCACTCTCATCCCACCGATGACCCCCCCACCCCCCGACTCTCTCCACAGCATGAGAGTGAAAGCTACAAAACTGTGTCTTCCTCTACCTCTGTTAAGACCGAGCACTCTGTGCTGGCCAAGTCGGCCAGCGCCTCGCTGGATGACGGAGAGGTGAAGAAGATCATGGAGGAGTGCAAGCAGCTGCAGATGGAGGTGCAGAGGCTACGGGAAGAAAACAAACAGATCAGGGTGAGGCACCAAAACCAACAAGAGGCTGCTCTGTCTAAGGCTTAAGCATAGTTGTTGTTCTTTTTAAAATTCAGTCAACATTTGTCTTGGATTTAATTCAACTCAATCATGGTTGCAGTTAAATATTTTCTTGATATTACTCTATTGAATAATCTCCCCTCTCCTCAAAGGGAAAGTCTGACAGATGCTTAGAACAGATGTCAGGTAAAATCACCCAAAACTCTTATGTTTTGTCTGAGTGAAACATCTCATCCTTTGACAATCTAAACCTTTTTGTCTGTGTTTCTGGAAATATGTTTGAGACATTTCACTCGTAAGGGTCACTTTAACTGCAGTTTGAAGGTTATACAGATAGCTTACTTAATATTATTATAATTTAGTATTTATTCATTTCATTTAAAACAAACAAACAAAAAAACACATTACATACAACAAAACAATGCAAATCAAATAAAATGAAAGGCAGCAGAAGAAAAAAAATCTTATATCTGCTCCTATTTACTACACACTGTACTATATATATTTTTTTCAAACATTAATAAAACAAAAATTCAACTCCTCAGTGACTCATACAAATTAAACAATTTCATATTTCTTTAACAATTTCGCTTTGATCATTTTTGAAAGGACTTAATTGATCCAGTGCTTTTATAATCATTTTCCAGATTATTCTATAGTCTTATACCTTTTACTGAAGTGCATCTGTCCTTCAAATTTGTTCTGATTTTTGGTTTAACAAACTTTTGTAATCCCTTCAAATTATAGCAGCTTTCCCTTTTAACAAAATTAGATAGGCTGTTTGAAGGTAACACATTTTTATGAACTTTATACATAACCTGCAGAATATGATATTCAACCAACTCATAAAATTTTAAGAATTTTAACTGATGAAACAACATATTAGATGGGTGATAGTAATGCTTTCTTGTGATAATTCTTATGGCTCTTCTTTGTAAAATAAAAATAGGGTCAGTGATTGTCTTACATGCATTTCCTCAGACGTCTATACAATAAATCAAATGTGGAACAATTATTGCATTATACAGTGCAAATAGTGCAGTTTCAGTAAAATGAAAACATTAGTTGTACGATTCAAGTGGTGAGTTGAGAAGTGAACTTCAGCTTCGTTCAGGCTAAAGATCAGCACTGCTCACAGTGTTTTTTTCCCTCTATGTACTGGAATCTGAGGGAGTTTTTGTTCTGAGCCGTTTGTGCCTCTGACTTGTTCCTCACAGGAGGACGACGGTCTGCGAAAGAGAAAGGTGCCGTCATTGGGTGCTCCTCACTCCAACACCATTGTGACCATGTCGAGGGATGAAGGCCTGAGCACTCGGGTCCTGGCTTTATGCGTGCTCTTCTTTGTGATCGGAGCCATCATTGGCAAGCTGGTCCTGTAGAGACAACCGGAGCAGTGACGGACGGACGGACGCCGTGCTCTGGAGGGCACGAACCAGTGACGTCAACGGGGATGTCTTCTGGGTCTATGTTAATCTGTTTCCTTGTTTTCTTTAACATTTAAGGCAATACATTATGAAGGCATGTTTGGATGAAAGAAATTCACTGAAGGTGTAAAAAGAAAACAAAGAAAGATAGTCCCAAGTTAAAGCATGAGGGTGAGCTTTTTCTGTCACAAGTCTGGCTTTTTTTTTCTTTCCTTTTTTTTTGTTAAATAATCACTTTTGATCTATTTTTCCGTCCTCTTCTCCTTCCTAAATGATCTTCCCCAGCTTGCACAGGTTACAGTAATAGGTGTGGAAGTGGCTTCACACTGGCTGAATGTTTAGTGTCTCATTGATTCTTAAGTTTTAAAGTTCCTCACTCACGTGTGTCTAACTTCACGTTTCTTCCATTCATCACTGATAATCTACCAAGAGAGCTGAACAAAACAGATCAGTGAAAGACCTTTTTTTGATTTTATTTTTTAAGCAAACTTAATGTATTGTCTTCTAAACAGTTTGTGGTTAAAATATATAAATATATACATATGTATACTGTACGTATGAGCCAGTAGAAGCTGCTGGTGTGTGTCTTGTTGATTTTGCTTTCTGCAGGAGTGCTGATGTGACTTGAGTGTGGATGTTTTTATGTGAGAAGGTGAAAGTTAAAACAAAGGAAGAGGGTCGGCATAAAACAACAACTGTCATTTCAACAGTTTTCCTGTACACAACAGTAAAAAAAGATATGGGGGTTGCTTGTTGAAAAGTCATGATCTTAATGATCTCTTTTGCTGTCCAGACCAAGAAATTTGTTTGAACTTGCTAAAAATCCATTTTTGGGCCACTAATAAAATTGTGACTTAATAAACAAAAGTTTATTGTAGTAAATTTATGCTGCTCGCTGATCGGAAAGCTGAGGTTCGATCACATCAGGCGAAATTACAAATTCACGGCCGGTCATGCAGACCAGTTTATACAATTTTAATAAACACAGTATGTAATAAAAAGTCTTGGCTACCTTGTCTGTTTTTGCCCAAAGAGGGTTAATTTTGTCTACTAAATCACTGTTCTTTGTTTGTTCTGCATTTTATCACAGAATGGTTTTTGTTGTAATAGTCAGATGCACTAATTTAATTTATGCACTTCACAGCGTGCATGCAATGGCCTGGATTTAAACCATGTGTTCATCAGTGCTGTTGAAGAAAAATGGGTAGTTTTTAGCAGGGACCATCTTGAGTCTTGATTTATATGTGATTTGTCTAGAATCATCCTTTTGCTTTTTGTTTGGCTCTTCTGGTTGTGAGATGACACAGCTGTATTATCTTTGGTATCGCATGGCCATCCCCGTAAACTTGGTTGTCTGTTAAACTAAAGTTCTGTTTTGTCTAAAGGAGCTTAGGAAGAAGAGACACTTGGATGTGGGTGTCTGAGGACTGACCTGTACAATTAAAAAAAAAAAGGCTTCAGATCACTTCCTCATCTATAGTCACAACAGTGTAACCATCCTCATTGGATACTCTTTTATATGTACATAAAAATACTCAAATTTTCTGTAGTTAAGGAAAGAAAAATAATTGAGCTGCAATCATGGATCATGTAGCCTCATAAGGAATTAAAATATACATAAACCCCCAACTATGTGTTTTTCTGTCATTTTTTTCTTCCCATGTTAGATTTGAATCAAGTTCGTATGTTTGTGAATCGTGAAACCATTTAATTACAGCAAATTTATTTTGTGTTGAATTACTGGGTCAATTACTAGATTCAAGGGAATCTCACAAATTATCCAGCAGATGGAGCTAGAGAGTCGGGAGGCAACGCCCACTACTGTTGTCTAGCAACTGACGTCATCGGGCCTAATCCAGGAAGTAGAAAAACATCAACAATCCTTCCAGGTTAGGGCGAAAGTGTTGGAACTAGCGAAGCCCAAATTTCTCGGGAGGTCCGTTTTGTTCAGATAATTTCACGGCGAGAGAGTCGCAGTACGCTTAGACATGTCGCTGTTTGGCAAGATATTTGGAGGGGGAGGAAAAGGAGGAAAGGGACCGAGTCCGCAGGAGGCGATCCAGAAACTCCGCGAGACGGAAGAGATGCTAACGAAGAAGCAGGAATTTTTAGAGAAAAAGATCGAACAGGAGCTGCAAATAGCGAAGAAAAACGGCACGAAAAATAAACGAGGTGAGACACAAAGGGGAGTTTTTCCCTCGTTAGTTTAAGTTTCTTTCGTCTGTCGACAACCCAACGCCTGAAATAGCAGCTAGAACCTTAGCCTCAGTGGCTAAAGTTTCCCCCGAGCTGTCGTAACTGTTGGCTGCCTCACCTGACGCATCTATCTCGGCCCACACCCAACACACGTCGGTGTGTTATTGACTGAGATACATATTTGTTGACATAATGATTAGGTATGGTACATTTATTATTCTCCTGACTAATGTCAGCGCAGAGAGTCTCAGTATTTTGGGGGATAATATTTTCCTTTATTTTAATGACAGGTGGGGAGCAGCTCCTGATGACAATAAAACTCAGAGGTCAAAGGTTAAACTCTACCTTTATCATGACCTATCAGTGCTACTTAAGTTTTATATAATAATGTTATCAGTTATTTAAAATATGCCACCCAAACATAGACAGTAATCCAAAACAGCTATTTGGCATTACTGAAACAACTTATTGACTCAGTGACTAAAAGAGTATAAATATTCATAATAACATCATCTATAAAAGGTAAACACTTGATCATATGAGTGTAATAAAATGATGACCTATAACTGTACATACAATTAAATTTGCTGAGAAGATTTAGTTTATTTCTTGTACTCTATTGTCTGAAAGTACACTTAAAACTTGCCTTTAAGCTAATTATGTCCTAAAATGTTGACATCAACCTTGAATCAACATGAATCTGTTAGTGGTCATGTGACTACTGACCACAGCTGACTGATTCATACCCTTTTTTTATAATTATTTTTTTCTTTTTCTTTAAAGATGTCGCTAATTTGGGAAATACTGTAATCTACAACGATAACAACACAGGTCCTAAAAGCCTGTTGAATGAGCAATTAAAAAGAAATGCCCTAAGCAGAAACTAATATCTACTCAGTTCCTTGCAGTGGGGTTGTAAATTAGTTTGATTTGTGTGTTTCTGAGGAATTAAGATTAAAAATTTAAAAAAAGTTCAGTTTTATTTTAGGTTTTGATTCAAATTGATGCAAATATTATCCAGGCCTTTATGTGTTGAAGACGTGTTTACAGTCTGACTTAGAGAATATAGAGTAATTGTAGTTTTAAAATTTTAGATAATATAAAAATTTCATGTTATTTTCATGATTTTCAATTTTCAAATTATGTTTATTCCAACTAACAATGCTTCGGTATTCTTAAATAAATATTTACATTTCAGTTTTTTTTTTTTAATAACTGAGAGTTTCATTGTTTGGAACCAAGCCTACCGCCTGGCTTTAGGTTGTCTAAACAAAACACAGACGCGTAGTTTTCACTGCAGTCTGGCTGTCCTGACTCTTTCTCTTCATCTCTGACTTTCCGTCCTCAGCGGCGCTGCAGGCTTTGAAACGAAAGAAGCGCTACGAGAAGCAGCTCGCTCAGATCGACGGCACGCTGTCCACCATCGAGTTCCAGAGGGAGGCTTTGGAAAACGCCAACACCAACACTGAAGTGCTTAAGAACATGGGCTTTGCTGCCAAGGCCATGAAGTCGGCCCACGAAAACATGTAAGAGTCACTGTGGAAAAAAACTTAGTGTTCGTTTTAGTGGTTTTGTAACCGGCGAGTCTGCTCTACGTTACCCATCCAGCTGTAACAAATGAAGCCATTTAAGATGCATTTTTCTCCTCCTCGTCATCGTTTTAGGGACATCGACAAGGTGGACGACTTGATGCAGGACATAACGGAGCAGCAGGAGCTGGCTCAGGAAATATCTGATGCCATCTCTAAACCTGTCGGCTTTGGAGAGGAGTTTGATGAAGTAAGTTTTAACTGATTGCTGCTGTAGAGAAGGGTGGACTAAAGGTGACCGGATGTTGATGCGTTAATTCAGCTTTAGTCTCTTTAACGGCAGTCTTATTATTTTAGGCATTTCTTCTTTTGTCAGTTTTAAAAGAACAGCAACAATAGTTCTGAATACGCTCTTTCTCAAACTCTCTGTCTTCTAACTCCAAACATTCTAATTTAGTTTTAAAGTACCTGTGACATCAATTTTTTATAATAAATATGAATGTGTTTTTGGAAATTTAACATTGATAATGTATTGTAAAAAAAAGATTTCACACATCTGAGATGAACGGTTGTTGAGATATTTGCATGTGAAGCAACAGGAAGTGATGTCATAGGGGAATGTCTGCGTGTGAACAGAGCATTGCTAAAATGGCCAAACTGTAGAGAAAAATCTGATGTTTCTTTAGATTAATTTAATCTCTATCGTAGAGATATGAGTCAGAGTTCAAATAATATTGTTTCTATAAACAAAAACCAGGGATTTTTTTTCCTCAAAGAGTTCCCCTTCGATGTCACTTCCTGTTTCACTTTAGCTGAGCCAAGTTCAAAAGAAAATGTGCCAGTTATGGGAGATAACAGGTAAAATCGTGTGTATTGTGCCAATTTCTTAAATATAAGTATATTTTCTTTGACTTTTTGTATTTCGTGGATATGCATGTCACAGACACTTTGAATTGAATGTTTTATGAAGCGAGTATTCAGATTATAAGCTCTTGATCTGACCCATTAGTCTGTTTAGTCTAACTTTGGAAGGGGAAAAAAATCCTCATCTGAAGGCTTGGATCCTGTTCCTCGCTGCAGTTAACTCTGGTTATAATCTTTGACTTTGATTACTTTCTCTTTGAGGATGAGCTGCTGGCAGAGCTGGACGAGCTGGAACAGGAAGAGCTGGACAAAAACCTGCTGGAGATCGGGGGCACGGAGAACGTGCCCCTCCCCAACGTGCCTTCCACTTCACTACCTTCCAGACCCGGTAAGAGTCCAGAGATTTTTTTGTATTATTTGAAACTCAGACGTTGCAAATTTCTCAGCAGACACAAATTTAAGTGATGCTAGATGGATCACTTTATTATTATTATTATTATTTTTCATGTCTCAGAACTCAGATTTGTCTGTTTTGTCCATTTCGCAGCCAAGAAAGAGGAGGACGAGGACGACATGGAGGACCTGCAGCGCTGGGCGATGGAAGCCATGTAAACACAGCCTCCCTCACATCATACCTGCAGCGAGAAGGGGAACGAGGGGAAGTAGATGGAATGAACGGACAGGATGTTGAGTGTTCTTTTGTGTGTTTGAGGAGAATTGACTGTCTACTTTATGTAACACTACAGATAAGCAACAATGCTGTACTCTTTATTTTTC